CCAAGCATGAGCCGCGATATATACAAGCCTGTCTGGGGCTGACGCTGCAGAGAGCATGCCCCGGCCTCCCCGCACGCGAGCCTGCGAGTGCCGTGGACAACAGGCGAAACGGAGTGTTAGATTGAGTGAAAGTGCATTTCAACTTGCCTTTGTATGTCAAAACGTATCAAAGGTTATGCGAAAGGTTTGTTTTCATGGGCGCTTTACAGTATGCGGGGGAGCGACCAGCAAGCGACCTTCACGCTTCACGCTGTTTTCGTTTTCGTGAAATCCAGTCCAGGGGTGCGGAGCTGCAAAAACGCAATATGCTGAGATTGATAATGATATTGCAGCAGGCCGCGCGCAGATTCCAAAAGCCGGAGCTGGCTGCAGGGTTGACCAGCGCGTTGACCGCAGTTTACGCACGCATGTTGCACCGGATGGGCACCGATGGGCCAAGTGGTTGTTGGGTGGATTAGTGTTGGTTAGTGATACTGATGACGGCCATGGGGTGACTGGGCAACACCTGCAGCCCGCCCCCACTAGGATGTGCCCAGCTTGCCACCTGTACTTTCAGTGACGTCCCGCTTCTAGCGAGGCGCACGCCCGGTGCGCACGGCCAGGCCATCGCAGCCCTCTCACACCTTGCCCGACGCAATCAAACGCCCCGCGCAACCTATCTGGGCCCCCCGCCGACATATTGCCGGCGCTGATAACTCTGCCCCCTCTTCGCCATCTGGAAATGCTGCTCCAGTGTGAGTTGCTTGTATAATTGTCAGAGGGCTTAGCCTGCACATGCTGCCGTATGAGTTGTGATCACCTACACCAGCCATGCTCTCTCGAACGATCAGTTGTGCACGAACCAAATTTCCGGTCTTGCGTGCCAGCAATCGTGGCAGCGGGTTCAAAAGCAGCATCAGCACGATCGTCGTCAGCAGTCGCCAGAATCATGTGTCCATCTTGCCTTTCACGGCACGCTTGCTGACTGTGTCACCCTCCCTTCCCCGCTTCCTGCCCCTGCCTGCTGCCTTTTCTCCTTGCAGACGAGAAATTGTGACACCAGGCGCCCTCTCCAGCGGCCGCAGCTCGCCCCTCTTGTTCAGCAGCACGTCGGCGCAGGCGCCCGCCTCGAAGCAGAACTGCAGACCTGCCTGCTGCAGCGCCCCCGCCTGAGAGGAGTGCAGCCTGTTTGGGGTGATGAAGACGTGCTTGCCAGGTGCCAACCCCTGGCCAACCTTTGCAATGACACGCGTGGGTGGTTGGTGGAGTTGGGAACGAAATGTGGGCTCGGGTGTGCGAGTTGGTTCACTTGTGACGCAAACAGAAACGGCGGCCAAGCGGAGTTGAAGCCAGGGTGACACACATCATTTTGACAGATCTAACGACACCATTCTTATCAGCTCTGACCTCTAGAGCTTGGTCGCCTTCAACGCGCACCTTGAAGGTGACCTGCACAAAGCCGGCATACAGCACTGCGGAGGGGCCCTCGGCAACACTGGGGTCTGTGCCGCATGACACCATCAGCGTGCCCAGCTGGAAGCTCCCGTCCACACACCCTTTGATTGACAGCCAGTCTACCAGCCAGGCGGCCGCGACGTTGACGAAGTTGCTGGCCACCTGATACCACAGTAGGGTTGATATGTCAGGGGTAGAAATGCGCAGGTTCACGCATGCGTGCATGGAGGTTTCGTTGTCAAAGCAATTGTATGCACGGCCTGCTAACTTGCAGCCCTGCTTTCTACACCCGCTTCCATTCCAAGACAGCGTGGAGCACCTGCAGGTGCTCACCAGCCTTTTGAGGTTGCGCTTCCACTTCCTGACATGGGCGTCGTTTGCTCCCTCGCCATGCAGGATGCCCTCGATGATGTCACGCAGGTGATAGTGCCGCCCACGCCGCGGCACGCGGCGCGGCTTTGTCTGTGGCATGACCTGGACATGCAGCACACCGCCATCAACAGTGGCGGCCGCTTCAGCACGCTGCAGCGCAGCACTGTGCAGAGCCACCACATCCTCACGCGTCAGGCCCGACAGTTCGTCCCCAGCTGCTGCTGCTGCTGGTGCTGCTGCCTCCTTTTTAGATTGGTGCACCTCCATAATGGTGTATTTTCCGCTTCTGCGACAACGTGTAGGTGAGCACGTTACAACACGAGGTGCGGTGCGTGGGCGGGAGGCGCGGCGGGGGTGCCGCACCGTTTTCCTGGCCCCTGTCCAACTAGATCACCATTTGAATTGAGATTGATCCTTAGAAGATCGCTGTGAGTTAAGATTTGCGCTGGAGATCGAGTGTTTGCCGCCAACACAATCCTGGCGAAAACGTGCAATGCTATGGTAGCTTTCACGTCATCATATATAGAAAGATCTAATATGCATTCATCCACTATGGTACAGTCTAGTTATCATATCGTCCTTTTGCGAGCTCAACACCAGATCGCCCTATCGATGCCCTATCCATAGCACGGTAGCAGGGTCAAGCGCTGGTGCACAGTATCATGTTGTTGGGACCTTAGTGAGTATGGCAAGTGAGACCAGCTCCTGGTACCGCGTTAGGGCCCGCATGCCTGCAGCAGATGGCGGCGGGTTTTATCGAGACAGCCCTCCAGTGTAGAAGTGATTGGTGCAGTATTACTCTGTTGTGTGTTGCATGTGTTTCTGCGTTATGCTTATATGTCTGCGCTGTCACGTGAGCTGAGAGGAGGCACTAGTAATGTGCCACAGAGTGGCTGCAGATGAGTCAGCTGGGGACGGGAAGAGTGGCAACCTCAGGTAGAGTGACCATAATGAAGTGTGAGCAGCAAGGGGGATCAAAACGTGGAGTCATGATTGCTCGGGCACAGCTCTACCCCAAGGGAAGCCGCCTGCGATGTTGGCTAGTGGGAAACCACTTCGTTGCACGTACACCTAGCTTATGACACTGCAGTGTCGTAAGCTGATGGCCGACGCAAATATATGTAGTGCAAGTGACCGGGTTCCGGCGACCCTATTGAGTCCGGAAACGCGTGGCTGAAGCAGCTTCGCACCGCCAACCTTTCAGGGCAGCACTGCTGGAGTGACCGCTAGCGCTGAGCGATCGGCCCTCCGCCCTGCGCGGCCCTGGGTTGTGCGGAGGGTGCAGCGCCCTGCATGACAGAGCAGCAATTCAATGCATGGCGTCTCACACAGCAAGAAGACGCAAGCCGTACTGGAAGTTGGTGATCAGACGCAGGGTAGGTAGATGCATGCTGGCTTGCGGCATCCCGAGATAAGCAATCACCTAGTTCCACCTCACACACAGCCAACCTAGGATTACTGCAAGTTTCTCTCGCATCTGGGCTGGCTGCACGAATTGAAAGACAGGCGGCACCGTGTTTATTGCGTTGCTGCGCCTGCAATCAACAAATAGACCTGCAATTGACAACCGCTTACACTGAAAGAGTTGGATGACGGCGGCACCAATGGTAGCGATGCTGTGTCAAGAGATCCGCCTGTATTGATGCAGGCCTGGGCGCGTGCACCAAGCCACTGCTCACCAAGTGCGACGCCCCTGGCTGCAGCCGCGCCCCCTGCAGACAGAGATAAAGCCTGTTCGGCCGAATGATCACACGGGAACTTGCAACGTGAAATTACACAGGAAGTTTGGTGCCCGTCAACATTGGTGTCTTTCAAAACACAGCCATATTGCATCCTACAGAGAACCTCTGCGTGGCGAGTGTCTGCGTACTATGTCACCTAATTCTAAAGGATACATGTATCAGCAAGCCGCTGATTCTGCTTGGTGTTGGGATTGATGGCCCTGGGCACGACCTCAAACAGCCGGGGCCAGTACTTGCCGGTGACAAACAGCCGCCGCCGCTTCGCATCCCATGCGATGCCTGGCAGGCAGGGTAAGATAGCAGATGGGAGCACGTGCATGGCGTGATCTCGCAACCTTGGTCTGAACCGGGCGGGCTGCGTGCCCCAAGATGCTGCATTCAAAGCTGCACGCTGCTGGCCACACCCTATGATCCCCCCGTTCAGGACAGGCGGCCTCTCAGCCCAGATGCTCACCGTTGAAGAACTCCATGGCTTTGCCGCCGTTAGGCAGTCCCCGCTGCTGCAGGGCATACCCAAGGCCCTGCATCAGCAGCCAGCCCACCACGCGGCCAGTCTTGGGGCAGATCCGTGCGATGCACTCAGTTTGCCAGACGTTGGCCCAGATCTGGCTGTCAACCACCTCCAACTAAAAGAAGATTGAAGGGGAGGTGGTTGGGTCTCTGAGGAGGAAATGTTTAGGATAAAGGCAAGCCATGGGGAAGGAGCTCTGAGTGAACACTGCTATTTCATCATGCCAAGGGCCAGCAGAGCTAGTGATCAGGGTTTGCCACCACCTGCAATCTGCAGATCAGGAAGTGCCATAGATTGCCACAAAGATGTACGGGCATGATATCAGGCCTCACACAAGCACTCGTGCTCCGGCCTCAACACACCCTTGCACACGTGATGCACGTCAGCAACACTTGTAGGCCACGTGCCTCGAAGCTCAAGTATGCGTGCTCACGCAACCACACACACCTCATTGAGCCACTTCACGTCCTGGCCGTTGGATCTGACCACCACCTGCCTCACGCTCCTGAACCCATCGCCAGGGTCCAGCCAGCTGAGCGTGCTGCTGCCATCACTGACCACCAGCAGGCCGCCGTCATCGGCAATCCCCCAGCCGTCACTTAGCGGTGTCTTGAACGTGCCAACCTGCGGCAGATGGCCAGCAGCAGGGCAGCCGGCAATGATGGGCCTGCTGAGCGTTAGACTAAGCAGGTGGCAAGAGGATTGCTGGCCGTGGCTGCATCCGGCAACTGGGCGCATGGAGAGCAAGCAGCTGCAATGACACAACTCTGCCCTGCACGGCCGTCACGCCTCTGGCTGCTGGGGGTTCAAACCTGCCGCGTGCCACCGCACACCTTCTGGACGTCCTGCGTTGAGTAAATGAAACCATCTGGACGCTCCCACGTCAGCTGGTAGAGGCGGTCCCCCAGCTTGGCCAGGCCCTCTCCAAAGTGGTGCCCCGGCAGGCGGGTGCGCGCCTCGACCTCGCCAGTCTCCAGGTGCACAAGCCGCACATCCGATTCACCATACATGCCTGTGAAAATCATGACACGGTGGCGGGCAGCACGTACAAGATGGGCGGGGGTCGTGTGGGCGCCGCCGAGAAGACGAGAGGGGCTCAAGCGGAAGGGCTCATTGCAGGCCACGGCAGGCGTTGTTGCGCAGCTGCTCACACTGAACAGCCTCATCTCCGCTGCTGGGGTCTGTCCATGCCAAGCGTATCAGTCAGCAATCGCACATGGGACGCGCTACATGTGCGCATACCCACAGACTCCCAGAGCACTTCTTTGCAATCTCGGCTGCCTTCATAGCAGCGCCGGTCAAAAACCAGTCCTGCATGCGACAATAATGGGCGTGCAGCGATCAGCTGCCTTCAAGTCCACGTTTCTGCTTGCCTGCCCGAGCGCAGCATTTGAATTGCAGCAGACGTGCAACAGCACCATGCACGCGCGTGGTGTTCCGATGGAAGTATGAGCCTGCGTCCAATCAGCCCGTCGCTTCATCACCCACCCTGTGTGTAAGCTGTAGGGTCGTGCGGGTACTCCGCAACAACATTGAAGCTATACAGATCCGGCTTGTTTGGCGGAAGCGCTCTGCAGTGATCCTGCGGCTTGGCTGCCCAAGTACATGATAAATAGGCAAGGCAAAATAGCCACAGACGAATTTTGGCCGCCATCGCGTGGTCTGGAGTGCAGGCAACAGTAGCTTTGCCTGGCTGGTTGTCACATAGATCACTGGAATCTAGTGTGCTGGTGATTTGATGGACGCAAGTTGGCAATCAACGTGAGAAGAATGACCGCCCTGGGCAAGCCTGCGCGCATGTGAGCATGTGCCAGGTGGCAGCGATCACGTGCAGTACTCCTACTGCAAGCTGGTGGAGCGTCGTCAGATTTTCTTCGTAGACGACTAGCAAAGCGGCCAGCTTGATACTGTCACATTGCAGGCTCTACACTGTCAATGCTCTATGAGGGCACTACACGGTCCAAAGGCTAATATGATACCTGGGCTAGGCTCCAAAGAGCGGGTCTCACTGTGCGCTGCCTCCCTGTCACCCTGGCATTGCGACTGCAATAGCAATATTTACGATACGCTTACCCTCCGCAGGCTTGTTGTTTAAAGCCCAAAACCACTGCTGACCGCTTGCTTGCAAACTCTTCTGCGGTCGCAGAAGTTTTTTGCCCTCCAGGGCCCGACGCTGCGCGCCACACTGGACGTGCTACTGGCCACCGCCGCCCCCACCTACAGTATTGGCCAGCTTCGGCATGTTGATAGTGGGGATGAACCCTCAGAAGCGGTGAGGGGTGCTGGCAGTCACAATTTTAGGCTGGGTGGTCTACACAGCCTCACATGGTTGTAAGCTGAATACATGCACGCAGCTGCTGGTCATGCAAAGCGTCCGCCATCCTGCCAGGGACCCCGCTCTGACACCAGCCTCTTTGTTGGCCCGCCAACCACCCTGTTCACCTGGCCACCAGCGACCAAATCGTCCCATGGCCGCCGCCGACCACCACCACCATCACTCACCCCTGCCCCCGCACCCCTCAGCTAAAATTCCAAATCGAGGCCACCGGTGGCGACGAGCTTGAGGCTTTGACGAGCATCTCAACACCAGCATGTTTGAGGGGTGGACACGCTCTGCTGAAGAAGGGTAAGGTGCGGCCTGGGCTGCTTGGTACATCCGTGCAGCCGTGGAATCGCTGCGCAGCGGCCGCATCACTCAACTGCTGCGCTGGGCTGCTCAGTCGCGCCGTCACGGACGGCGTTCGCAGCTGTGGGCGTGGCGCAGGGTAATTCCCGCTAGGCATCCGGCCTGCGTGATCCAGGCTGCAGCCAATCGTGCAGGACACTTTAAACACGTTCAGGTGTGGCCATAAGCCCTGTCTGTGATGGCCGTACTGATGCCCGCTGTCTTGTTGGCCCCCCCTTTTCCCATGACTGCGGCCAGGTGAACAAGGAGCAGCTGGACACCCGTCAGGGCCACGCGCCGATGGTGGACAGTTGTTGCAAGGTGCTCAGGTGGTTTGAAGAGGAGGCCGGCTTGCGGGGCGCGTGTTTGCGGCGGATTGTGGTTGCTGCATGGGTGGGTCCGGACCAAACCTCCACGCAGGACGCATGGCGGGCGGCTGCCGCCGCCGCTGCTGCTGCTTTGGCTGACAGGCTTCGAGACGTGCGGTTGCGGTGGGTGGCTGCGCCTGGCTGCCGGATGCTTCTGGGCAAGCGGCCTGATGTATAGCGGAGTGAAAACGTGTGGAGGCATGCTGTGCCAGCCGTGCGCCCTGATGTTCGCTTGACCGCTGACTTCCTCCCCGCCCCTCCTTGCAGGCAGCCTGGCATTCTCCTTTGCGCTGCGCGGTGCTGACGTGAGTGCGATCGACATCACCAGCAGCATGGCATCGGATGCGGCACGGCAAAGGGCGCAGAGCCCAAGGCCTGCCCATTTTTGAGGCAAGGATCTCGAGTGAACGTGGGCAGGGTGATGCCAAAGGGCCGGACTGAGAGGTCCGGGTTGGCATCATGACAGCATCCTACGACTGCCGGTAGCGGGAGGACTGCTGGTTTTTACAGGAGGCCGGCAAGAGGGGTGCAGGCGCTGGTGGTGAGCAGCAGTGCGTGCAAAGTGCGCCTGCTATGTGCGATTGTGGGGGAGGGTCGGGTGTGTTCAACATAGCGGCACACAGTTGGCAACCACCTGACGCGTGCATCTCCAGCTCTTCACGTCACCCGCCGCACTCCGCGTCACCCGCCGTACTCCCCATCACCAGGTCTATCACCGGGCTGTACTACGTCGTCACCTGCATCCACTACCCGCAGGACAAGGCTGATGCCATGATGTCCCACCTGGCCCCCCTTTCAGACTGCCGCCGGGTGCTGTCGTTCCCGCCCAAGACACCCGACTGCTCCGTTCTCAAGCGCATCGGAGAGCTCTTCCAGACCCATCAACGAAAGGTGAGGACTGGGGGCAGGGTAGCAGGGATGCTGGCCATATGTGCAGAGCTCCAGCGAGCTGCTGACACTGATTTTCTGCATTTCTATTTTGCTGGGGCGCAGGTTGCTCTGCCAGGCATGCGGCTTTAGCTCTGCAGAGCTGTCCTTATGAAGCATGCATGCACTGTTGCCAGCTGGCCAGTCAGGCAGCTGATTGCGAGCCGCGGAGGCCCTGTCCTCCCCTGCAGGCCACGCGTGCATACCTCCACGCTGAGGAGGACGTTCAGGCGGCGCTCAACCCCGCGGGCTTCAAGGTGACCAAGAGGGAGATGACCGCCACCTCATTCTATTTCAGCCGCCTGCTGGAGGCCGTTCGCAGCTAAATGCAGTTCAACACAACTTTGCTCGGTGTTCAATTATTGAAAGCGCAGCTTGCGTCAGGAGAGCCCACTACTGGCGGAGGTGGTTGGTGCAGTCTTGCCCTCCATTCGGTGTGTCGTGTGGAGTGCTGCTTTAGGCTTGCCAGCGTTATCACGTGAGCTGAGAGGAGGCATCCTGGCCCCTTTTAATCATGTTTTGATGCTGCTATTTGTTGATGTCGCCTGCATCCCCTGTTTGGTGCTGCTGTGGTAACTACCAACGCGTGTTCGCCAGCGCTTGCAGCATCACACAAAATGCAGGTCGATGTCGTTTGGCAGATAACCGCTGAAAGCAGCAACTCTGTTCTTGTCAAAGCCATAGCAGCTGTGGAGTCCACCACCTCAAAGCCTAGCCGGCTGCACGCAAGCCTTGCTGATGCATCATGGCCCCCCGGGCTGTCATGTTTTGTCCAAAGTGTGGAATGACTCTGCTGCATTTCAAGTTACACGCTGCAGTTTAGAACACCCATGCATAAGGATCAAACGCACCCCTCAGCAGCCAGTCTATCAGAAATGCTACATCACAAGGTGCGAGGCATGCAACATGCCCAAACGCACATGGCCTTCTGCCAAGTTGCAGCATCCTGGTAGCTGGGAGGTGCGTCCGCAGCCAGTGCCAGGGCCCACCGCGTGGAGGTGTGCTGCTCGGGCCCCAAAAAAGCGTTGCGGCCCGCACGCAACGGTATAAATAACGTTGCGTGCGGCGCAGCCCAACCCCCTGGCTAGGCCAGGGTAGCGTGTGGCGACCGACCAAGGTCAGTCCCACTAGCAAGCTCCCGGAGTTCTGCTCCCGGAGGAGTGCTCCAGACGGAGGTTTGCCCGCTTGAGAACAGCCCGTACGGGTATCCTGGGTTTGGGCTGCCAGGTCACCGCAACACGCGCACCGCTGGGGCTGGGAGCGCACCCCCAACCCGAGCAGCGGGCGCGCGACCTGGAGATGCAGCGCCTGCAGCAAGGGGGTGCGGGGCAGCGCGGCGCGGGCGCACGCGCACCAGGCAACACTCTAGCAGGCAG